ATTCATACGAATACACGATTACGTCAATTAAAATACACTACAAATAGGAAATGAAACATTTTTTCCGATTTAAATCGCGTGTTTATTTCCAAACAAATGCATGTCGCCCTGGGACATAAGTTGACAAGCCCCATGTACCTGTAATTTCACCAGCACCTTTACCATTCTAAATCGGAACAAGATAATGCTGACATTACTGCTTGGCGGCAGATATAGTTAAGGTGGCAGTACTACCCTGGACGAACTTTTTCACAAGAAGCTCTAATCCTACTAAAATTAAAACTATTTTGCAATAAACAGGCAAGTGTGCTGTTCCTAGGCTTAGGTGAGTGGAAGGTATCGCACCATCAACCAGATGTATACGTTTTAACGTTTCTGGAGAGGATACGGGCCTTTCTCAAGAAAGAGATGATTGACCATGTCTCCGATGTTAATTTTTCATATATCAAGGCAACTAAGAGCGTAAAAGGTATGTAAATAAAATGTATTTATATTTTCAGCGGTAAGCAATTACACTTGAAATCTTCATATTGACTAAACTCTACTGCACATTCGTAAGTCAAATTCCTCTGAGGAAAGTGAGTAAGAACTCTAAGGATTGGATTTCATTTATTTACAATATTTATTTATTAAATTTCCTAAATAGTGACAACTTGAAAAATCTAAACGAGTTACTTTAGTGTATAAAGTGTTTGTTTCCATTACACGTAGTTATTTTTAGCTGGCTTAAAAGTTCCCGGGTTCGATTCCCGATAATGTTCCCGATATTCAATTATTTTTTGTGAAATTACTCCACTAGTTTGTTATAATTATTAATACAAAGATCGAACCCTCAGAAAAAATTCCTTGGATCCGGTCGGATTCGAACCGATGTCTTCTTGCATACCGTGCCAGACGCTTTTTTTTTTTTTTTGCGTGGGGAAATCCTCCGAGGATACCTCTCCGCCGCGGGGGCAGCGGGGGACTTCTACCGGCTAAAACCCCACAGTGGCCTTCTCGGGTGCTCTAGTGGGAAGGATCCGGGATCGACTTTGCGCACCGGAACCCCCCCAGCACCTAGGAGGAGCTACGTCCTCCCCCTCCTACCACTTTGGATGTGGCTTAGTTGGTATAGCGTCTGGCACGGTATACAAGAAGACGTCGGTTCGAATCCGACCGGATCGAAGGAATTTTTTCTGAGTGTTCGATCTTTGTATTCATAATTATAACATACATAACTATGCTCTTGAGTCCGGCCTCGGAGCATCGCGGCCCTTTTCTGATGTGTCTCAGTGCATTTAAATTTATACCTTATTCCCATTGTAATGGTATAACAAAATATAATGTACACTGACAAATTTCATGGGCTCTGCCTTGCCGTCCACCGCTTTGCGCTGGCCTTTAATGTGATGAATAGTGTTCTTGCTCTCTTGCATTCACTTTAAAAGTGACAATCTGATGCTAATATTCATACTGTAAGTTGAGTGTGTGCGTGTGTAATTTAATTTATTTCAATTTTCTCTTGCAGCTTTGTTCACAAATTCATCAAGTCCAGAAGTTGAATCAACGTCAAAGAAAGAAAAAAGGATATTCTTCGAAAGCAAGCGGCACCCGAGAGGTAAATACATGTTCATAGTTGCCAATAGGAAAAAAAATGGACACGTTCTTTAATGTAGGAAGCAAACAATGTACTAATAACACACACACGCCCAGACACGTACAAACACGCACAGACATGGGCACACACGCGCAGTCACGCGCCGACGTGGTAGTAAAACCATCATGACATTCAATAAAATAAATGTTCCAAATATTATTTTTAATTATTATTATACTATATTTTTTCTTGTACCACAGGTGGCATAAACGTGCAGTTGAAGAACCGAGAGCCGTCGTCAAAACTGACGGAGGAACATGAAGGGAAGCTACTTGTGATGACTTATCCGTGGGATGGTAATGCGCATCCTGGTAATGAATTTTGGTAAGCATGCCTCTTTCTCGACTTAGGTGAATCAGTCTATAGTACCATAGAAAGATTATTTACTCGCTGCAGACTCAGTACGCGAACGAGCAGTAGCTTAAAAAATTACGTTTTCATGTGTAAAAATTTTACCTATGGAATAAAATGATTGTTTGATTTTGACTTTGAGTACAAAACTTGTACTGGATATTTCTATTTTTTTTAATGTAACACTTATTACTAGTGTAATGATTGTCGTAATACAAATTGTGTATAATAATATTAATAATGTAAAGTTTACAAGATAATAGCGTCGGCTTATTGCAAGAAGTCAATGACTTCTTGCACTAAGCCGACGAAAATAAATCTAAATCTACGTCAAAATCTGATTGTGAAATCAAAAAATCTTACTATGGTTATTACATTTTTTTCAGGCTAGGTAGCCTCGACAGTTCTGGTGACCCGGCCGCGGCGTGCTCCACACAAGTATCAGAATTACACAATGCGCACGTTAACCCTGCAGTTTGCTCTAACAATGCCAAAGTAGCCGGCCGGTACGGCATCGAATCTTTGCCGGATTATTGTGACAAATTTGTTAGATTGCAGTATAGTAATTATACAGACTGAAGGAATGAATTCATCGCCTTTGCCGACAATGGACGTAACATAAAATTTAGCAGAAAACAAAATTAATTTATGTAGATCAAATTGGAATTTCATTTAAATATTTAAGTCGTCTAAATATTACGTTACGGCCGTTGTAAAAGACGAATTATTGGGTTAGTCCTGGCATTCAAACCATGGTCACATAAACGATCAGATTGTTAAATCGTTCTGCACAAGTTATATGGCGGCCGCGATAGCAACATTATGTCGACAACCTGTGTGCACTTCGAAGCTTGGTCTAGCTCCTGTCTGCCATGTAAATTTTTTTTTTAATTTCTCAAAATGGCGGCTACGCACAAATCCTATGTAAACTGGCATTTATATAATAATGATGTCAAAATATCGCATAAAGGGAATTGATTCAAATAATGTCTATATTGAAGTAGGCAGATAAATGTCGACACATTTCGTAATCATGTTGCAGTCATTGCGGTTAATGCCGCACCTAGTGTTGCGTACCTACGGAACCGCTTATTACCTTGCGGTAGATAATCTATTCATTTATAAACGTAGTTTCAAAGGAGATAAAACGGTAACTTTAATAGCTTATTCTTTCCTTTGAAAAACTGTCATGAATCTTTTCTTTGGTTTATTAAGTCTATAGAACCTCAAATGGCTTTGGTTGATTCCACGTAACAGTGAAAGTGTTGAAGCAATCACCTTGGAAAAAAATATATAGTAAAATTGTGGATATACACTGATATGTATATGGTGTGAAAACCCGATGCCTAAAAAATTTCATTATAGAATAAAACCACAATTTTACCTCGAAATTTTACAAGAAAACCGCGTTATTCGATAGGTACTTTACACATACCAGTGATTTTTTTTTATATCAGCTGAACTAAATAGAACATTATCACTAGTATCAGGTTTCTTACCAGTGTGACTTCTTTTTATTTTCCCGATATTTCGGAACAGTTGCACGCTCCATGGTCACGGGTTGACTGGACGGCGGCAGATGACAGCTTTAAGAGCAGACATATCTGTCTACCCTCTTGCGCTGTCGACGACTACCTTCATCGCGATTTGTTGTGGCGTTACCATTGTCACTCACTTTTTTCACACAAACCACACTCACTGTATCCACACGCGAAACTGAACTCGAGGTGTTTTTGTTTTTATTACTGCACGCACTAAGGACCGGACTCCATGCACTGGACAGTTTAAAACCATCATCACGGTTAAATGTTTTGTACTTCGTGATCTCGATGGCTTCTCGTACCAACCGTGATATGTAGTGACGTTCTGTCGAGAGTACCTGGGGGTTATGCAACTCGATTCAGTGGTTAGTGTCAGTCTGTGTGAGATGTTGTGCTATAGCCGACTTCTGTGCATCATTGTTTTTTACTGCTCGGATGTGTTCCTTCATACGATCGACAATTGTTCGTTTAGTCTGACCGATATACGAGCTCCCACAACTGCAGTTCACTTTATAGACACCCGGTGTTTGTAAAGGAAGGTGGTCTTTTGGTGAACGTAACATTTTTCCTATTTTGGTTAAGGGTCATACTGTGGTAAGAAACCTGATACTAGTGATAATCATTTAGTGAATAACCACGAAAGTCTTAAAATGTATATAAATAGAACATGTATACTATACGATATACATTGTTCAAATTCTGAAATAAAGCCAGAAAAATGAACCGTACGGGAAAAATTTTAATTCAAGCTGAGGTAGTATCGACTCTTAAATAATGAAACAAAAAAGAATACCATAAAGTTTGTTAATGGCAGGTTCGACAGACATTGAACAAAATATTTGTATAATGGTGGCACTTCATATGACTATTTGTATTTGCGTATTTGATATATTTGGCAAACAATCACCATGATAGATAGCGTGTGTGGCAAAGTATTTGCCTTGTTTGCCTATTCGACAAATACAGCAAATTCGGTTTCTTGCCGCACATCAAAGGAGCCAAATAGGTAAATACGCAAGAATACCGCCCACACACTGTGGTCATATTCATTATTTTAACTCCTTATTTTAACTCCATGTGTAGATGGCCATATTTGTCAGTGTTTGCATGTTTATCAATACGCCAAATACTTTTCCAAGTACCATCAAACACCCAAAAGCGAATACAAATAGCCATGCGAACTGCCGCCATTAAGTAGTATATTCTGGCAAACATAATTAATCTAAATGTCGTACCCTTGGTATTCTAATAAAGCCACATGTGATCGTTCATCAATAGTGATTTTATCACACGAAAGACTTAAAAATAATGCGAACTACATGAAACAAATCATGTATATGTGTGTAATATAATAACTTTCCTAAGTAAGTATAAAAAATATATTGAACAATTTAGTTATCTCCTGAAAAGTTGTCATTTTACAGTTGTTACCTTAATACACTTAGGGTGCAATTTAAGTTCAGTGCACCTCTGTCTTTCATTATCGTAGAGAAAAGAACTAAAGCTTTCTAGCTTTTGAATTTTAGTTTGTGACAATATTATTCATTATCGTTGAGAAAAGGACTAAAGATTTCTAGTTCTTAAATTTTAGTTTATGACAATATTATAAGGAGTCTATGGTGTCGGTTAATTTAACATTTCTAAACTGAAATGAAATGTTATATCTTTGTGTAATTGATAATAAAAAAATCAAGACTCTTAAATTAAGTTCAGCTTGCATTTGTCTTGTTTAATTTCATATTTTTTATCCTAAATAGATTGGACATATTAGTGTAAGAATGACCTAAAGTAATTTAGACCGCTAAACAAAAAACCAAGAAGTTATAAATCGAACAAAATAATATATTGAAAAAAAAATGCAGCTGTCTAGAAAAATATTATAAAAAAAATATAAATAAGTCGTGGTAGATATTATACAGATGTTTTTTTTTAAATGGGACAGCATGGGAAAATCCGATACCATAGAAGATATAAGGAATCTTAATATGTAAGGAATCTTAGGAATCATTGAGTCTTTTTTTGTGTAAACAATTTTGGTTAACTATATCACAAAATTGAAAACACTTTTTATGAAATTTGACCAACTTCTACTGTCCCGATTTTTTCTTCCCATACAATGAAATCATACTTATAAGAAACTGGTCTATTAGCATTAAAAAAATAAAATAGTCTATTTTATTCATTTTGTTTGAATAATATTTTATATAATTTGACCAACTTCGGCTGTCCCGATTTTTTCGTCCCATACATGAAATGAAATGATGAAATATAATCCCTTCATGAAACTGAGTCGAGTAGCACTAAAAAAAAATTTGATTAATTTTATTCATTTTTTATGGACAATTCACGTTTGACCAATAAATTGACTATGCCAAAATTGTTTTCACAATTACTTAATGGTTTCGGAGAAACTTAATGGTTCTTAAGATACTTTCCTTGTATCTTCTATGGTTTCGGATTTCCCCATACAGTCCCATTTAAAAAAAACATTGTATACTGAGACGTTAATACTGATTCTACAAAGATGGTGTTAGCTATAACTTTTGACATCAATTTGGATGTTGTAAAAATGGTTCCTTTAAAGAAAAACTTTGGAAGAAGAATCTATATTTAACTTTTCAGTCGATAAATGTGTAGCTATTATAAAATTATATTGAATATTTATTGCGAAGATTGCCATAAAGTATAAGCGCTTTGAAACTATAATTACAGAAACGGTGACAATAATAAAAAAAAATCACACTTCGTGCTCTTCCCTTCAAATACTAAAAGTGCTAGTGCGTCTACCTTAATCGGCTTTTTCACTGCTGACAAGTTTTGACTTTAAGCCCCTAATAAAAAACATCACTAAATCCAGCCATAAACATTCTCATCCTTCTTAATAAATCAGTATGGTACCATCGACATAGTAATAATAATTTTTTGGCATATCTTTGATTTTAACTTTTCTTCAATCAAAAGTTGTACCGTATCAATTTGTATCCATTATACTTAAATGTTACTTTTTTATTCTCTGCTTAAACTTAATATGCTTAAACTTAATATTCGTGTACAAACTTTTGACAACTCTTAATTTTTTTTTATTAATGATTTGTGAGAGTAATTTATTGTCTTAATTCTGCCAATGTCCGTTACGTAACACAGTATAGTGTCACAAACATCATGGAGGGAGTGTATATAGAAAATTTGTTCGGTGATTCGGAGGGAGTATTATGCGTAATCTTTTTGACATATAACTTCAGGTGACTTTGATACCGATCCTGCACCTCAGATGGGCCTTTTTTTTTCAACTCTTGATTGGAAAAACAATCAATAAAACACTTAATACAATTTACGTATTTTTTGTAACCTAATCTAACCAAACATGTATACAAAATCTTGTATAAATCCTTGTCGCGATTGCTTGTTGACCCGGGTAAAACGGATTGAAACCACCCAAGATTAAATACACCAAAACCAGCCTACGCAAATAACGACAATATTTGTGTTGTCAAAAGAAATTAGTTCTTTAAAGTTCTGCGACATAGTGACGGCATAACTCTTAACTTGTTAGCATAACAATTAGCCGATGTCTTCTTGTCTTATTAAGTCGTCTTTTTTGATATGTGCTCGTGTATCGAAATTACAATCAAACCAATCTCCGTTAATTTTTGTGATTAATTTGGCCCATTAAAAATAAAATAAAGTAAGTAAAATTGGCTCTGTTTCACATGCAAAACCATTATATACAAAAAAAAATTCAATGCAAAATAGCAATTGTAATAAGGTAAAACAAAGTCGTATTTGCTTTTGTATCTCAAAGGAGTCTATGACTCAACAACAATCGCTATTATTTTGCCATAGCTCATCGTGAAACAATAAAAAAATAGTTATTTTGGCACAAATATTTAACATGAACAATTTTTTTATGTTTACAATGAATATTTCCCATGAAAATCGAATTTAAAATTTCACAAATTGTACACTTGTAATTGCAGGCGGCTGTACCTAAACTTCTTATATTGAACAAATAATAATATTTCACGTATAAGTGTGGTATTTACATTGGAAATATATGTATTATCTTCGTTATTGGGTAGATTTTTAAGTAACAAGAGATAGACTTGTTTTTGCTAAAATATTTAGTTATTTATAAGACTGACGAAAGGGGTTAATTAAATTTAATTTTGGTCTGTGGAATTGTGAGAGTAGCGTTTTTGACATCCATGTTTATGCTGTCAGTAGACTCTAGTGGTAGAATTTGAAGTTCTTTTGAATTCCGGGTATAAAACGTATTTAATGCCTTCAAATAAAAAAGTGGTACCTTTTCTTGTATACTATCACTTTATAATGTTAATGTGTTAGTTGTTGTGTAATATAGGAGCAATATATTGTATGTGGTTTCTATGTATATTCTAGACACGTTATATAAAGTGTAAAAATGTCAATTATGTAACAAAAGAAATGTAGATAAATTCTGTTGTACATGATTTTAAATGTCATATTGTTTGGGGAGCCTTACGATAGAATACTGGATCATTGTCAGCTTATATTCGTCCAACTGCAATACTGGATCATTGTCAGCTTATATTCGTCCAACTGTTGCGCACGGGTCTCATTGGGAATATCATACATCTTTCAAGAGTTTTAAGCTTCGAAATAAAGTTTTCGTAAATATGTTTTCCTTCAACGTTACAACTATAATTGCATTCGTTTATTAGGTTTTCAGGATAATAAGATAGGGATACTATCGGAGATGTTGACGCTTTACCAACCTAGGGCAATTTTAAGATTAGTTTTTGTTACCAAATTTTGGTGGCAATTTCTATTATTTAAATATTGTAGAATTTATTATGATGAAGTATTATTTAATGTTTGAGTGAAGTAACCTGAAATATTATTTAATATTTCACTATAATTTACTTGAACACTTAAATTATAAAAATTGCCACCGAAATTAGATAGA